GTGATTGGGCTCCCGCTGCCTTCTCTGGCCTCTCCCCAGTCACATCCCCCTGTCAATCAGCGTGCGTGCGGAGCCACACCAGGGCTATACACTCTCAGCTCTGGCCCTTCACCTGCTGTTCCTTCTACGCAGAACACTCTTCCAACCCCTTCCAAACCTGGCTCACCCATGTGGTCTTCCAGCTTCAGTGCAGACACCTTCCATCACTAAGCCTTGCCTGATTCCCCCGCCCTCCTCAGACTGACCAAGCATCCCCCACCTGTGCTCTCACAGCACCTGTGTGGCCCCTGGGGTGGGCTCTGAAGCCAGAGCTCTCAGCTGTGTGACCTTCGGCAAGTTGTTTAACCTCTCTGAGCCTCTCTCTCCCCTTCTGTTTAATGGGTGATACCCACTGTACATCTACACCTGAGTTTCAGTAAGCATTAAGTGGATTTTTGCAAAGCACTCAGCAACATGGCTGACACACAGCACTCCTCTCGATAAACATGACCATCGTAGTAGATGCTTCATTAATATTTTTTTGAATGGGGGCGCCTGGGTGGCTCAGTTGGTTAAGCGACTGCCTTCGGCTCAGGTCATGATCCTGGAGTCCCTGGATCGAGTCCCGCATCGGGCTCCCTGCTCAGCGAGGAGCCTGCTTCTCCCTCTAACCCTCCCCCCTCTCATGTGCTCTCTCTCTCTCTCATTCTCGCTCTCTCAAATAAATAAATCTTTAAAAAAAAAATATTTTTTTGAATGAGCGTAAGAATGCCTTGACCCTTGTTTCACAGTCTTGTTCTTAAAACCTTGCGGGGGACATCAGACCCCTTCTTAGCCTGGGGACCTGCTTGTTGCTGGGCCTCGCCCAGGGCTTAAAGGGCTGTCCTGAAATGAAACTCTAGCTGCTTCCTTTGGCTGGGTTTAGGCTGTCCTAACCATTGGGGGTGGGGACCAACCCCCTGGATTCCTGGGGGCCATGATCCCAGCTGCTGGGCCCACCCTGACGGTTGTATCTTGGATCCCTGGCCTGGCCCCATTTTGCCCAGACCCTGCTGTTACTTGGACCCAGAATTTGCCGTCCTGGCAGACTCTCCTCTTCCATCCCTCGAAGGTGGGGTGGCCCCTCAGTCCCTATGCGGCCCCATAAGGTGGCCCTCTGTTCATATTTCTGTCGCTACATATAGCTACTCACTTCTTCCCTTTAAAAAAAAGTTTTAACTTAGAACATATCAAAAAAGCATAAAACAGTCAAAATCACTTGTAATCCCACTATCATTAAAATATTTTATTGAAAAAACTCACACACTTCTAAACAACCCAGATGAACAGAAGAGAGGCCACAGGAGAAGTCCTTGGAGTTGACTAAAATTCACTTCCCCCCTTGCTTTAAAGACTAAAAGTTTGGAATGATGTTCTCCCTCTTCTCAGCAACCACCCCCTCTCACTCCCACTGTCTGCCACCAACCAGCCCTACTCCTGTTTCCCAAATTGCTAATGTCTCCTACCTGTGGCTCTTCTAACCATTCTCTCCCAGAATTCACTGGGAGGGGAAGAGGACAACGTGTCACAAAAAATCAGGCATCAGTGTGCCACAGTCCCCACCATTCCCTACTGTCTTACACGGAACCCATTTCATTCACTCATATGGCCTCCTGGCTCTTTAGAGATTCCAGTTTGGGACGCTTATCACTGATCACTCTTATCTTTCCTTTAAAGCAGGTCCCTAAAGAACCACTGTTTGGCAACTTTCAGTTATCCTAGCTGGAAATGCTCTACTGAAGAGGCAAACCCTACGTGTTCCATATTCTACTTATTCATAATTAGACTCTGCCCCTCTTCTCCCGTATTGTGAGCTTTGAGCCTCTCAGTCCTGCCTTTCTTCTCTCGGTGCTAACCCCTGGAATTCTAGTGCTTGGCCTGAAAACCAGGCCCTTTTAATTGCGGGTGAAAGAACGCTCAGCAAATTCAGGAGGAAAAAATGTTCCCTCCTCACCTATAACTACAGGAAAGCAGATTTTATGTTGTGTCATTGAATCAGCCCTTGCAAATGTTTGCTCTAACGAGGGGGTCTTGTGAAGGCAGCGAGATGTCAGACATGATTGCTATGGCCTGGGAATGTAACTAAACTTCAATCTCTGAAGTTTGTTAATATGATTGGTCTTTGTAATGTGGTGCCCTGATAACATTTTAATCAACACCTGCTTTCTACAAGGTAGAAATATTTGTGGTTTTGGTACATCGTAGTTTGCCCACATCAATGGGCACAGAGGAAAACAGACAAGATTTGACTTGATTACTAAGTCAAAAAGTTGCATCATTTAAATTAGCAAGTTCTTCATGACAGGAACAAAACTATTTTAAAACAGTTCCAGGAATTCAGACTTTTCACTAATTTTAACTAGCTCACCTGTTCCAAACATAATGGTTCTGCTAAAGAATAGCACTTTCAGATGCTCCCATTTCTCAGATGTCTTTACAGGAAAAGTTCATAGGGAGTAGGAAAGTCCCCAACCTTATTGGAAAAGGCATTCCTTATCTTGAATATTTTGTCATTCCCCAGGCAGCAAGGAGAAAGGCCCTTGCAACAGAAGGCTCGTGTTTCAGGCTTCAAGGCAGCCCAGCATTTCTTTGCTTTTTTTCTCAGACTGATCAGCCAGCTTACAGCAACAGCTCCAGGATCCTCTGAATGAAATCAATGCCTGATGGAAAGGTTTCTTCTGGAAAATTCCAGAAGCTGGGACTGTAGCGGGAAGGAATTACGGCTTTGGGAGGAGCTGGGAAGCTCCAGCCCCACCTGAAGTGATTGTGCAGTAGTGCCGACCTTCCCTTTCTTCAGCTGAGACACGGCGTGGCCCTCAGTGCCTGCCCCCTGGGGTGGCCTCAGGGTTACCTGAGGTGGGGCAGGTCAAGTGCTTGGCTGGCGCCAGCCCCATGCCATATCCAAGCAGAAGCAAAATGGATTACTGCTACTCGATGGGATTTCAGAGTGTCCAGTATCCTCAGCTCAGGTACGTTCCCCGTGTGTGTGTCTGTGTGTGTGTGTGGAGGGGGAGGTCACTTGTTTCCTCTCCTCCTGCGTCCCTGCAGAGGGACCCCATTAGAGAAACACTGCTGGCCTGTCACTGTCCCCTGCTTGTTCCTCCTCAGGGAGGAAGAGGGACTTCTTAGAGGGGAGGGGGAGAACTGCCTGCACAGCTCAGCCTTCCTTCGGAATGGGGAATCTATCTGCCTGCAGGAAGTGCACGGGCCCCGGGGCTGTCCGTCTGTCTGTCTCCGCGGGACAAAGGCCCTTAGTTAGAGGGACGAGGTATTGGCCAGTCTCCTCGTCCACATTTCCAAGGTATAGTCTCCAGTTATCACGTGATAAGTGATACCATGATCTCCACCTGCCTGACTCCTGTATCCGTCTCATGTGCCCTCCAACACCGCCGAGCTTCTCTGGGGGCGTTTGCTACCTCTGCGTCCTCAAACCACAGCACCACTCACCCAGGCGCGAGGTCTGTTTGCGCTTGATCTCCGTGAGCTTGGGGATGGGGTAGGGCCCATAGCAGTGGGTGAAGATGACGCACAGCTGCTGGCTGATGACTTCGTTCTGCAGAAAAAAAAGAACGGTTCACACTGCTGGGCCCTGCGCGGCCTCATCCAAGCTGTCGGTAGGAATGCCTGCCCCCAGGCGAGAGGGGCCCGCACACTTCTGGCAGGTTCCAAGAGAACCCCCACCTCCACCCCCCCCCACCAGACACTCATACACTCATACACTCAGTTTGCTCAGCAGGCCCTGATGTGCTTGCTGTGCTTGTCTGTTGTCTGTTTCTGGTCTGTTCACTGGTGAAAGCTTAATTTGTAATTAAATCCTTCTCTCTTGCCCCAGTCATTTACCACCTATTGGAGAGCAAGTGTCACAGCTCACAGAGTGGAAAATAAGTTTTTACCCCAAACACACCTTTATCAATACTCCATAACTCTGGAAGCAGTGAATTATCCCGAAAATAGCAGCAGGAAGCCCTTGTGATCCCGTGACTGCTCTCCATTACCCAGACACAAATGCTCCTGATTCAGCTTCTTAGGAATGTGATTTTGGTGCTGAGGCACATCCGGATCCAGGAATGCTCAGCTGAAATCACTTTTTCCAAAAAAAAAAAGGGGGGGGACAGAGCTACAGCTGCCTCTGATCACACAGGGACAAAAGAGCCTGTTTCTGATTGCCCCATGTCCTTCATGTTTTCGCCTCTCCCCCTTGGGACCCACTGCTGGTCAACAATCTCCCTTCATCTGCAGGTGCGTGGGAGGGAAGCCATGAATCACAGCATCTGATACTTTTTATTGGGTGAAGGAGGTTGAAACTAGGGGCTGAAAATGGGGATGAGGTAGAAAGACATTTACAATATATTAAGAAAAGTAGGTTACAACACAGTGTGTACCATGTATTTTTGGAAATAAAACCCTTTACGTATATATACGTGGATTGACAGATATGTATAGAAAATGGAAGAGTAGAGTTGCCACCTTTGGGTGGGCTTACAAGGTTTTCCTTTTTACCTGCATTTTCTACAACAAACAACTAAGTGTTGTTTTTGTAATATGCACAATAAATATTATTTTTGATTTTTAAAAGATGTGTTTGGGACAACTGATGACGTCCGTGGTTTGAGATATTCTTGAATCTATTTCATCGTGCTCCCAAAGCAGAAGGTTACAGCTCAACACATGAAAAGGGACTCGACCGTTTGATTAAAGGCACCATGTTGCCTCGGACGTGATCCACCGAGGTGCTTATGGGGATGCAATCAATATTGGACAAAGGAATTCTGCTTTCAAAGATGATGCCTTATGACCAAAAGGTGTTAAACGCTCCTCTCAACACTCACAAAGTGATTGCCTGTCTCAAGGCTTCCTGCGGTGGTTCTCAAAGTGTGGTCCCTGGACCAGCAGCATCAGCATCACCTGGGTGCGTTGGAAATGCAGATTCTCAGGTGCCATTCCAGACCTTCTGACTCAGAAACACTGGGGGTGGGGCCCAGCAATCTATATTTTAACAAGTTTTCTGGTGATTCTGGTGCTCTCTTAGGTTTGAGAGCCACAGGCATGTAGGGATATTCTCTCTTGCGTTTGACCTGAGCTGGAGGCTATTATGTTTGTTTCCCCTGGTCTAAAGCCTGCCACTCAAGATGTGTTCCATAGACCGCCAGCAACAGTGAGGCCTGGGAGCCTGTCAGAAATGCAGACGCTCACCCCAGGCCCATTGACTCAGAAGCCACAATACCGAGCTCTGGGGATGATTCCCATGCACACTAAGGTTTGAGAAGCACCGTGTGCTGGGCACAGTTATGGTCCCCTGGAAGACTGTATCCCCCAAATCCCTGGGACTGAGAATATCATGAGATACCATGCCTGTAAATATGTTACATTACAGGGCAAAAGGGGCTGTGCAAGAGTGATTAAGGTTACTAACTGAGGTTTAAATTGACCTTATGGTAAGTATATTATCCTGGATTATCAGGGCAGGCCCAATGTAATCACACGAGCCCTTAAAATTAGAGGCAGAAGAGGAAGGGGCGCCTGGGTGGCTCAATCGTTAAGCGTCTGCCTTCGGCTCAGGTCGTGATCCCAGGGTCCTGGGATCGAGCCCCGCATCGGGCTCCCTGCTCGGCGGGAAGCCTGCTTCTCCCTCTCCCACTCCCCCTGCTTGGGTTCCCTCTCTCGCTGTGTCTCTCTCTGTCAAATAAATAAAAAAAAATCTTAAAAAAAAAAAGACTTTTAAAATTAGAGGCAGAAGAGGAATTCAGAAGGGACTGGGGAGAAGAGGAAGTCACAGAGATTTGAAGCCTGAAGGACCTGATGTGCTGTTGCTGGCTTCCAAATGCGGGGGACCACACGGCAAGCTTGAGTGGGGGAATGCGGGCAACAACTCTGGGAGGAAAATGGGACCCCCAGCTAGCAGCCAACAAGGAAATGGAGCCTTTGTCCTACACCCACCAGGAACTCAATTCTACCCAAACCTGAATGAGCTTGCAGGTGGATTCTTCCCTGGAGGTTCCAGAAAGGAACACAGCCCTGTTGACACCTTGTTTTCGGGTCTCTGTGAGACCCTAAGTGGAGAGTGCAGTGAGATACTGTGTCCGGTTTCTAACGCATGAAAACCACGGAAAAATAAGCAAGTGTCTAACCACCTCGGGTGAAGGAATGAAGGAAGATCCACGTCCTGGACTCGGTGGCCTGTGACAGAGGCCTGAGCAGCTGGTGCTCTTCTTTGGCAGCTGATTGACTGATTGACTGGTGGTGGTCTAACTTCAGTGTGTGCTGTGTCATCCGAGAAAGTAAAGGTAAGGGCTGGCCACGTCTGGTCCAAAGGGACAATCCTCAAATGCTTAAAAGTTACCTGGGAGGAGCATCATTGCCCACTCCTAGGGGAGGGCTGCACACAGTGATTCGATTCCAAGGAGAACAGTTGGGAAAAGGGGAAAAGAGTAATTCTGCAGGTGAGAAGCTTGACAGGCACCACCCTCAGCCAGGTGATCAAGGTCAACGCCAGCAGTGAATACTCATGTTGAGAGTGTGTGCCTTTGATGTGGTGGGAAAGGCACTTAACCTCTGTAGTCTTCCGCTCTAAATCCACAACCCCAGTTTAACCATGAGAAAAACACCCCCTATTCCACTAGAGGGCATCCTTTATAGTATATCTGACCGATACTCCTCAAATTTTGTCAAGGTCACCAAAAAACGAGTCTTGAGAAGTGGTCTCCGCCAAGAGGAGTAATGTGGTGTCCTGGATGGGATCCTGGAGCAGAAGACATTACACAAAAACTAAGGAAATAGGAATAAAGTATGGAATTTAGCTAATAATAATGTATCAGTGTTGGCTCATTGATTACAACAAATGTACCATACCAGGTAAGATGTTAATAATAGGGGAATGTGGGTGAGGGGTTGTATGGGGAACTCTGTGCTACCTTCTCAATTTTTCTGTAAAGCTAAAGCCATTCTAAAAAATGAAATCTAGTGGAAAAAAAATCTGCCCCATGAGGAAACAGGATAATTATGAAAGTATTAGAAGTTCAGGAGAAAGGGAAAGAGGAAGAGTCAAGGGTCAAAGTGGACACTGACAGTTCCCCGGGTTTTATTCATTTATCCCCTAAAGTTTTCATGAATGTGAACATTACGCCATGTGCTAAGTGATGTAGCCATTCACACATTAATTCTTTCTTCAAATATTTATTGGGCATCTACTAAGTGCCGGACACTATGTGAAGGTTGATGGTGATGCTCCCAAGGTCAGGACCCCAAATGCTGCCTTTCTCAAGGCTTTCTTGGCCACCACCTCTCTTTCAGACACCAGAGCCCCACGAGAAAACTCCCCACTCTATCCTCAAATTCATCTGGGTTTATTGAGGCGTCTGCTCTGTGCCCTTTCCCGTGCATTTCCTCCAGCTAGAGGTTTTGTTGGTATCTTTCACTCTAGTTCCCCAGCACCCAAATGCATCAGGACTCCAGGAAGGCTCCTCTGAGCAAGTAGGGGTGATGTAATTAGTATCAGTTAATAGCTCCAGTGGGGTGAGACCCGTTGGGTTAGATGGTAAGTTTGGGGCAAGGAACTGGGTTATCTTTTGGGTTTGGTTAACTCTGGCCTCAAACCTGAAGGCAGCAGAATGGAATTAACCAAACTTGAGGCTCATCCTATTTTGGAGGCATGGGGAGCTGGGGTAGTTGTGCTGGGAAGATGCCTATATTCTTCTCTGAGTTGTACATTTAAGAGAAGGGCTTTTAGGTAAAGGCACCACAAGGCTTGACTCTCAGGGGCAGCAGGCCAGTCTGGGAGGCCAGGGCAAGCCCGTGGAGGAGGAGGAGGTGTGGGCTGGGCATGGGTGGGCGTCTGGCCGAGCTGAGTACACGGCACCTGGTTAGTGGTTGTTACTGGTATGCTGCTGGGTACCAGCCATTCAGGTCTCTCATGGAAAATGCCAGGTGTGCACACGGGGTGAACTTGGGTCCTCAGGACTCAGAACCGTGTGGCTACATAGAACGAAAGGGGAATGAAGTGAAGTTCTTAATGCCACGGTTGGCAGGCGACTCCTGAGATGGGCGCCTGTGAATTTGGGGATGACATCTCTCCTCTCTTCCTCAGACCCTCACTTCTCTCCTAAGAAGATACCAAAACATTTTCTTTTCTTCAGAAAGGAATTCTGGGATTGATCCCCAAGGTCCTTTTTAGGTGAGTTAGGCAGGGGTTCTACACAGTGGTAAAAACATGGACAGCGGGGCCAGGTGGGGCTGGGTCCCGGCCCTGCCTCCTCATTCACTAGCTCTGTGACCTTAGGAAAGCTACTCAGCTTTTCCGGGTCTGGGCATCCTCTTCCAAAGTGGATTAAAAATACCTGCTTGGTGAGGTTGCTAGGAGAGCTAAAAGGGATAATGCGTCACAACATACCATTAGGTGGAACCAAAGGAAAATGCCGAGATTTGACCATTTTTTAACACCTCAAACAAAGCAATTTCCTATATTTCAAACCCATCTCTCTTTTTCTAGATTCTAAAATGTCATACAATTAATGGCAGCTTTTAGGAAGAGAAAAAAAAAAAACCTCACTGCATTAA